CCATGCTTGAACTTCTGGAGGATCCCTGTTTATGTAGTGTTCCAGCCATTTTTGAATGATCTTCAGCAGTATTTTGCTTACATGTGATATTAATGTTATTATTTGATAGTTTACGTTTTCAGTTGGATCAAGTATGTATCTCTTCCAATCCCTTTGTACTAGCAATCAAGAAATCAGAAGATGTGTAGCACTGGGAAAAGCTGTCAGGGACTTCTTCATGGTACTGGAAAGCAATGATGTCAATTGAAAGACATAAGTGCACCTTACCCAAACCCTGATCTTACAGTTGCTCACTATGCATCTGAAATTTGGACATTGACTTGTGGTGTTGGAGAATAGTACTGAATATCCTTTGGAATGCAAAAAGAACAAACAGATAGGTCTTAGAGAAGGTGTAATCAGGTTACTCCTTAGAAGTCAGGATATTGAAACTTGGTCTCATGTCCTTTGGCATGTTGTTTAGTGGGCTTGGAAAAGGACATCATACTTGGCAAGGTGGAGGGCCAGCAAAGGAGGAGAAGACCCTCAATGAGATGGATTGGCACAGTGTCTGTAACAGTGGGCTCAAGTATGTCAGAAATGATGAGGATGGCACAGAATAGGGCAAAGTTCAGCTCTGTTGTTCATAGAGTTACAACTAGGACTTGTAATGGACTTGACAGCGCCCAACAACACCAGCAATAATAAAGATCAAACTAACTAATAACAACCACCTACTAAGGGCAGACCCTCATGGATCTGGGTTGACACAGTGGCTCCAGCAGTGAGCTGAAGTGCAGCAGTGATTGTGAGAATGGTATTGGATCGGGAAATATTTCATTCTGTTCTTCATGTTATTGTTAGGTACCATCAAGTTAACTCTGACTCATCGCTACCCTATGGGAACCAGATTGGAACCCTAGCTGATCTTCTTATACATGCTATTGTTATAAATAGAGTCACTGTATGTTGGAACTGAATAGCATCTAATGATAATAACAATAAAGTTAAAAAGAAGCCCTAGTGGCAGGAGAATAATGGAGCAGTCTGTTTCTGTAATGATTTGAAGCTTTGTAAATCCTTTGGGGCACGTGTACCCTTGGTATTGATTTGATGACAGAGATTTTTTTTTTCCTAATTAAGTTAAAAGAAGTTTAGCAATTCCATACTCTGAAAAACAAGGAACCAAACAAAAATTTTTCTTCTGCTATTTAAACATTATGTTCTGTTGCCTTGAATAAAAGAAATTTATATTTCTTTATTTTGTTGTTGTTGTTGTTAGGTGCTGGACTCATAGCAACCCTGAGAACAAAAAACTTAAACCTGACCCTGTCCAGTGCTATCCTCATCATCTTGGACACACGTGAGCCCATTGTGGCAGTCACTGAGTCAGTCCATTTTCCTGGAGGTCATCTTCTCCTTTGCTGACCTTCCATCTTTCCTATCATGAAGTCCCTTTCCAAGTATGGTGTCCCTGTATAAGGAGTAGCTTGGCATAGCTACATATCCAAAGTACGAGAGGCAAAGTTGCACCATCTTTGCCTCCATGGAGCACTCTGGCTGTACTTGCTCCAAGACATATTTATTTTTACTTTTGGCAGGCAATATTCAGTACTCTTCTTGAGCACCACAATTCAAAGATACCAGCTTTTCTGTCATCCTTATTATGCATAGCAGGTGACTGAGAAAACCATGGCTTGAAATAGGCACATCTTAGTCTTCAGATTGACATTATTGCTCCTAAGTATTTTGGATTGATTGTAGTAAGTAAAAGAAATTATTTGTTCCAAGAATTTTACTCAACTAACTTACAGATTTATCTGACTAACCTTCTTGTTGTATGATTGAGAAAATAGAAGTTGAGTTGTTTTTAGTAGGGTTAAAGGTGAATTAGAATTTATATTTTCTGATTTTTTTTTTCCCT